TAGGGGTATGTGATTCCTCTTTATGCTCTTCCTCAACGAGAATTCTAGGGTACGTATATTGACGATGACATACATTCATGAATTTAACAATTAAGTGTGCATTCAAGAATTTAACAAAATTTAATTGTTGAATGCGGTCCGCTCAAACCTTCATGCTTATGGCACCACTCAAAGAAGGATGGGGCAAAATTAGGTAAACCTTCCAAGCCTTTATTTCTAAGGAGCTTGCCCCAAAAGTCAGCCTCTAGACCTAATGGAACCAATTTGGACTGATTTCCTAGATTTCTCGTTTACGCTTTATTTTTTCATATTTTTAGTGGACCTAACCAAAGAGTAAATGATGAAGATTCCAGACCAAAGGCAAATAATCATATATATATGGGGACAATTCTTATTTTCACAAGCATTTATACTTATTGTGCCATAATATAAAGAACTATAAAACAAATGAGTTCGAGAGTATTTAGTTTATGTTTTTTTTTCAAGAATAATAACAGTGTAGTAATTTTTTTTTTTTTATTAAACAACTGTCATTCATAAGATTTGAACTAAGCATTCTCGGACAAAACAGAGAATTTATACCACTAGATCAAATCAGTTAGTATCATATTTGTATGCATGATCTCTCCTTTTGTGTATGTAATATGGTACAAAAGCAAAAGAAGAAATTGTGGGGTTTTCACACTAATTTTGGAAAGGGGGAAACAATTAATGGCTTCAATTAGGAATTATAGAATTCTTTTCCTTTCCATACCTTGACAACACTAATCTCCCTGTTGAAGTTGATCTCTTCAGTACCAGAGGACCCTTTACCAAGCTGAAAACTCCACTACTTCTAGGGTTGTTACTGGATTTGGAATTCTGTTCTTGATCAACTCCTTTTGATGATCCAATTTCCATGGAAAATTGAAGATTTTCGCTAGAAAATTGGGCACTTCCCATCTGATTTTCCAAGTCCTCGTCATCATCTTCACCATCATGCAAATGCAACACATCAGCAATGGAAACTGATCTCCTCAATTGCTGCTGGATCCCATGATGATCTTGTCCAATCTCACAACTGCTCACTCTACTTTCCAGCCGACCAACAACCTCTTCCGAATTATCTTGAACCACCAAAATACTTACATTAGTCCTGTGTTGGTATTCCGAAGCGGACGCGTTCACCTCCTCCCGTTGATTTCCATCGACCGGAGGCACCGCTTGTTGTTGATGAGGCACCAAAGCAATGGCAGGAGCAGCGATGTTCGACCGGCACAGCGGACAACTAGAATGAGATTTGAGCCAAGTATCAATGCAACGAACATGGAAAGCATGGTTACATTTTGGCAACAGCCTCAGGCTCTCATTTTCTTCAAACTCGCTTAAGCAAACCGAGCAATCTGTGCCTTCCACAAGCTTATCACCTTTCTTGTACTTGTGAACCGTGATGGACTTGATCAGGGACTCATCCAGACCGTTATTTGAGCCTTGCATCGATTCACTAACTAGGTTTGGATTCGAGCTGTCCATTTCCATGTCTCGAGCGCCATCACCGCCTCTTCGCCGGCAGTATCTGGATATGATGGTGTAGTAAGTGACTAGAATGAAGGCACTAGCAAAGATGCCAATGATTGCTATAATGAGAGGAGAGAGATCTGTTGGAGAGTCTTGTTGGTTTTGATCATCGGCTTCGGTGAAATCAAATGCAGGAGGAGGACCAACGATATAGCACCACTGGGGGCAGTAGATGCTGCAAATCCCTTGGGAACAATCTTTGTATGTGTCATATGTTGCCCATGGATTTTGGTTTCCTGCAGAGCCCATATGACCAAAAAAACTCAATAACCCTAGCTCCTGCCAGATCTTGCAAGTCTTTTTTTTTCTTTCTTTCTTAATTTGGTCACTCCCTTTTACTTTGCTTGATATATTCTAATGTTAGAGAGAGAGAGAGAGAGAGAGAGAGTAGGGCTAAAGAAAAAAGGAGAAAAATGAGGCGGTTGTAGGGAAAAGGAAGCAAAGTAGTAAAGGAGAAGGGAGGGTGGATTATTGAGTGCGACTCCCTTATATTCTACAACTTTTTCTTTAATTTGTTTTCTTTTTCTTTGGAATTATTTGTGGGAGGTGATGCTTTGTTATCTTGTATATTTGGAAGTAGATGATTGGTGGTTGAGTTTGGATCCATGATTAACGTAAAAGCTTAAGAAAGCATCAAATCCAAGTCTCTGTAGTCGGTGAATATAGGTGGGAGTGTACTCTTTGCATTTTAAAAATATGTAAAGCAACACCACACTTCCAACTAACCCAACCCTCGGCCTTCTTGCCTCCTTTAAAAAAGAGGGCTCAAGATTCTTACATAATTTAATATGTTTTTTTTCTTTTAAAGAAGGATAATTGATGGCAAGCGACGGTTATTCATCTTTTTGTCTCCTTTAAAAAAGAGGGCTCAAGATTCTTACATAATTTAATATGTTTTTTTTTCTTTTTAAAGGGGGACAATTGATGACAAACGATGGTTATCCATCTTTTCCCGAGGCCAAGAAGACTCACAGAGGCATTTCAGTCTCCTCCTAACCACAGTCAAGCAAACTCACCAGCTTGAAGCCTCGAATGAGGGACCTCTTTGTTTTTCGTATTTTAAGAGCCGGAATCCGTGCCCTTACCACTAGACCACCTACTTTTCAAAACCTTAATCTAATCCATTTTGTATGATTGTTACTTAATACTACGGTCTAGTGATATTCCTCTACACTTGTAAGTTTTAAATTTTGTTCGGATAAAAAATGAATTTGAACTACATTATTGCTAGCCTATTTATGAGACTTATTCCATTCTCCTACTCTCTTAGTATAGATAATATCGTCTATTAAAAAAAATCATTTTGTCTTATTCATTTGGAAGAAAATAATCAATGTTTTATGTTTTGTTACCATGGCAAATTAGTTAAAGTCGCCAATTACTTTAGTATATTGTTGATTCTGTAATTTTCTTTTGTCGATAGTTAATTATAACATTATCTACTAACTATATTCTAGTGAAGTCGACAATAATTTTAATTTAGTGGTGCTTCCTTCGTAATGTTGAAAAATATTCAAATGGATAAAGCTTGGGGGACACAAGGATTATTCATCTGAAATTAGTATGTCTCATCCCAATTGATTAAAGGAAAGGGTAATGCTAGGAAGATTATATATTTAAATTACATTTTGTAATTCATATGATGTGGTTATTGATGATCAGATTATTACTTAAGTATTGATTAGTGTGCTTATTTTCTATTGGTGACACATCACATGATTTGCAAATTTGGTCTAAAAAATTGGTTTGCCTAGCATTATCCTAAGGAAAATGATAAATACACATACTTTTTCTCCATAGACACACCCCTATTTAATCTTACTCGTTTTCGTTTGAGATATTCAATTCAATGACTAACCTTTTTTTAAAAAAAAAAAATTACTATTATTAAGGGGAGGGGGAAGAGTTCAAAAATATTACATTAACTTAGGTGAGAGAGAGTTTCGAATCGGAGACGCATAAGTAGAAATTCAACCTATCCACTAGGATAACACACCACATGCAATTCGATATATAAAAAAAAAAAATGTGAGAGGCTAAAATAAGTGTTACAATCACCCATTAATTAATTAGATAAATTTGATTTTATTAACAAATATTATGTCAAAGAAATAAGTGATTTATGATAGCCATTTAATTTTCTAACATTAATCTCCACTTGTCTTTAAATAAGCCATGACATTTTGGGCTAGATTTCCTCCACATTTTAAGCTAGGGATAAGAAAATGGGCGCTACACAAAACACCACACACGAGGAGTTGACGCCCCTCACTATCCCCCGTGACAAAGCTGCTGGTGGTGGATACAACGATAAAAAGGAGACGAAATCAAACTCGAAATCAAGTTAGACTAATAATGGGCCGTCGTTGTGAATACAACGATAAAAAAGAGATGAAATCAAACTCGAAACCTCAAATGAAAGAATGAATACTCTTAAATGATTTACCAGCCTCTTACACAGTAATATGTTTTTAATAAATCAAGTTAACGTTCAATTACTTGTGCTATATAGTAAGAATTTTAATATTTGTATTAAAATTGAGAACAATCCAGTAAAGTGCAATTTCAATTGCGAACAATCCAGTAAAGTGCAATTTCAATACTCACTTTATCCTTTTCACACTACTTCTTTGTGTCCATATCTACTTTAGTAACTTCAAAGCACGTTTATAATATTATTTAAAACTTGTATTAAAGAAAGTGATTTTCACACACCTGCTTTGTTTCTCACAATTTCTCTTTATCTATGATTATCGAATTGAATAAATTAAACGAAATCAACGGCCATAGTTAAACGAGAGTTTGTAAAAAACTTAAAAGGATGTGAAAATCACATTTTGCGCTTGTATTAATCCTAAGTATCTCTATAAGCGGAAATATCTACAAAACATCCAGAATTTTTTTTTTTAATTATTAAATTGCCTACTTTTGGCCCAAAAGCAGGGCTCTAAAGTTAAAAGCCTAAATGATACTCAAAATGGCTCACCACCAATTTCGCTTTCATTTGCTCCACCACATTGATCATGCTTTCAAGGCATAATAGTAGTCATTTGTAACCGGAGTAAATTCAAAAGCAACTTATTGTCCACAACACACTTACAACCTAAACCTAAAGGGTGCAAAATGACTTTTTCGAAGTGCCAGACAGTTAATTTTATTATGTATGGTCAAAACCAAGGCACTCGACATGGATCAATCAGTAGATCGCCATGATAGCTAGTCTTCTTCTTCAACCTACTGTGTCCAGCTTTCAAATATTGAACGAGGAGGAATACGGATAAAGAAAGGATTCCAAAATATAAGATAATTTGACTAATAAGTCATAGCCTTATGCAGATGTAACAATTTAAACAAACTAATTGACCTTCACTGAAGGGAAAGTCATCATAATTTAAAGTTGTAACATCATTATCACTCTTCTACAACAAGATACAAACTCAATCTATGCAAAAAGTTATACATGGTTGAATAAAAGATGAGGTCATACAACATGATACTGTGGTTCAGAAATAGAAATCTATGTATCATAATACAAGTTATAAAAGATTTTCCTTTTATCTTTTAGTTACACATTCTACAATTTAAATCGCCGTCGTCTAATTCATTATTTCTCGTTTCTACTATGAATGAATAATGGGTATAAACATTATGCTCAAATACGGGCTATGCTCTTCCTTTCCTTCTGTCATCCAGTGCCTGCTCCAAAACACAAAAGAAACAAAAGTTTCCGCGTTTCAAGTTCAGAAATTATTAAGAGTACATATGATCGGAAACTAAGCATTCCAAATAGAAACATGTTTAACGATGGATGGAAGTTCAGATAAAAACCATACATATGCATATTAACGATCCACTGATATACAAATTAACCATACAAGGGCCCTTTGTGGGTTAGTCAATCACAATTGTTGATCGAATACACACAAGACACATTTAGACGATATTCCACTAAATCAAGAATCTTAATTAGCAGTCTGGCAATATAACTTCTTGATTGTATGCAGATCATGTGTTCTGTGTATTTGTTTCGTGTGTGCATAATACATACGCATTGATTCTCTTATGTATCCATCTGTCGTTATAATCGCTCCTTATCAGAAAATGATTGTTTCAAATATTTCCATGCTTCTTCAATCAAAAATAGAAAAAGTATCTCCATGCTTCAACTTGTTGAGTTTTATTGTAATCCAGATATTCTGGTTTACGTAAACTAACATCAGAACAGTATGATGCAAAGCATCTCTTTGTATTCCAAGAAAGGTCAACTAAATCTGTACTGCTTTCTTGACTATGACACAAGTATTTTATTCAGTGTACAAAACAGAATAGAGCTGCAATATTTTCATTTGTGACAAAACCCCTGAACTTAAACAGTGTAGGTTAATGATGGAGTCACATCAACAATCCATAAACACTACCACAATCCCGTCTTTTGTATTGCTCACTAGGAGGAATCAATTAAACATTTGTATCCTAGTCAAGAAAGTGGCGCAAATTCAATTGACCTTTTATAAGCTTGGAGTACAAAGAGATGCTTTGTAACGTATTGGTTTGATGTTAGTTTACGTATAACAGAATATGTGGATTACAGTCAAACGCAAAAGTTGAAGCATGGAGATACATTCATTTTTCGGTCAAAGAAGCATGGAAGGAATTATATTAAAAGAAATTTCTCATCCCAAGTACTAAAAAAAAAATATCCCCATTAACATCTTAACCATAAAAGTATGGTCCCAGAGGTTAGGCAAAATGTGAAGTAAATTTAGGTAAGAAGGAACCTTGCTTTGGAGTATTCTCATGGTCAACACGAGAGTATCACGCAACCTACCAAAGAAATTGAATATATCATATTAGATGAGATATTCTTGACAGAAAGAAGAGTGTTTAGTATGCTTCAAATAAAGGGAAAATAATAATAATAACACAGTTATTATCAAGATGTTCTGTTTTAATATATAACTACAATAATTTATGGAAAAAAATTAAAATCGACATGTAAATATAAAATTAATGTATTACCGAATACTGTATGTTGTAAATGGATGAGAAGATCCATCAGAACGTGTCAACACAAATTGTGTCGAGAAGCCACAAGGAACTTTGATCTGCAACCAGAAAATTATAGAATGTTGAGTATACTTGGAAAATACAAATATCCAACGACACATTTTATATATTGTTTTGATTAGTGGAGAAATCTATAACTACCATCATGTGCTTAAGGATATTAGCTTTAGCTTTTACTTCTCTGAGGAATACATATTTTCATAAGGAATTTTCACTCATTTTGAGAGTGTGAGAACATAAAGTTTGATCAACAACCTTTCCTAGACCCACTTGATACCATTGTATACCACTAATTATATTCATTAGGATAATGCCGTTACCTCAGCCAATACTCAAAACAAGCAACTTCAAGAGGCTCTCATGACATAAAAACTTAATTACTCAAAAATGAAGTATCACCAAGTAAAGAACGTACCGATAACTCCTTCGAGAAATTTTCTTCAAATAAAACAGCGTCTGTGGTATTGATCCTGATTTGATAGCCTGACCGTCTCAGAACCAGAGTTGCTGGCTCCCAATCTTCAGAAGAGTCCGTCTGTTTTTCAGCAAAAGTATATGGGAAAATTTTTTTCATGTGATACATAAGCCATAAGTTGGTTGCAACAGATTTTGAATATTGTCTATATACAAGCCAACTGAATTAGATAATAGAAAGGAAAATAATCTGTTGCGATGGGTTCAAAGGGATGACTAAACCATATAGCTAAATTGATGTCATTTTGACCAGACAACGTCCTTCACCCTACATAACAAAAATACAAAAACAAAAAAACCAAAAAAGAAGAGCCTGGAAACAAGACACTACTAAGATAAGTAACCATATATGCTAGTAAATGTTTGTTAATAAGTAGATGAGGCCATATTCCCCCCAGTATGGAACAGGTTCCCAAGCTTGCTTCACAATCCAGGAACAAAATATTAAGTACAAAATCCTTTGAATCAGAAGTCTCAAAGACACGAAAGCTCTGAGACATTTGAACAAGGAAAATGACTTTCTGAATTCAAATAATTGCCCCATTTATAACATATTTGAACCAATTTTCCATAAACTCAGGTCATCATGGCAGTTTATCTGTGCATAGAACTTGAAAAATATACATATAATGCAGTTTGGGTGCTTAACATAATATTTTCCTTTCTTCCGTCCCTATAAAAGTACGGAGTAATACTTACTAATTATGCAACAAGTGATTCAATCGAGAGCCTTAAGTTCCATATGCAAGTATGCATACAAGTTATACAAGGTAGTAACGCAAGAGGAGGAAAAAAGATGTGAACAAAACTTTAACAATGCGTTTAAACAACGATGGCCGCAATTGGTAAACATCATTAAAGAAAATACCTAGACTGGAGTTTCCTCCTAATCTAGAGCCTCAATCATTATATTTGAAATTTCACCAAGCAACAAATTTCCAATAAATTAGCATTTTAAATTATTGTCAGGAGATGGGTTTACCAATCTACACTAAAGATGGTGACTGATGAATAAGTGATGCTTCAAGAAAGAGAATAAAAATATAAACTTGATGAAAACAATAACCATACCAGTAGTAGAACACTAAAACTGGCTTGTCCTCTAGAAATATGTGTGTCAATCTCCATTTGCATCTCTGGGTCTAGAAAGTACCTCAGTGAAAAAACAATGCAAATATTACAACTCAGATGGGGAAAGAAAACCAATGAGTTGGAGGAGAAGAGTTGGCGACAAAATCAAAACTGGAAAACAAGAAACTAACTTAAATTATCAGCTATCAGATATTTTCGATTATTTTTTCACTTAAGTTACTTGGGTTGCTTTAGTTTAGGTCACAAATATTTTCGATTTTATGACAATACTCCACGCCTTGGTAAAAAATTTGCTTTGAATTTTCAACTAGAATTAAAACCTAAATATAAAAATAATATAAAATAAAGCGTTGCCTTAAGAGTGTTTACATCAAATGCATCAATGCAGCATAAATGCACATACCACATCTAATTTTGTTCTGATCATTAGCAAAATGCCTCACTAGCTCCCCCTGCCAATGAAAAACAAATTTATCAGGAAACAAAATAGTCATAACCGAAAAGTTTAAAACGAATGGAATCACTTAGGACATTATGCACATAAAAGGTAAACAGAAAACCTGACGGCCTTGTTCATCCATCGGTATGCAGTCAACAGCAATTATCTTATCAACATCATCAGCAGTGACAATATATTCTGGATTTGTGGCACCTGATTGAAGAAAACACAAAACCAAAATGGAAAATAAAATAAAACAATACATACGTAGATACCGAGTACACTGAAAGGACCCAAATCACAAGAAAACTACCAAAAAATAAAAAATCATTTAAACGTCTACCTTCAATGACCTCCCTAGTTCCATCCTGAAGATGACGAACCCACTGATATGCAAACAATGATGAGGTATAAGGAAGGAACTCATAACATATGCAAACTTCTTAAGAGATGGAAGTTTACTAGTGAAGAATGTTCAAGGAGTTTCACCTGAAACACACAAAGTGAGGTCCCACGTACTGGATATCCACAGCCAAGAAGTTTGCCTCCCGGAATAGCATCACCAATAATCTGAAAATTCTCTATTCCAGGGCCCACTAAATGAAATAGCACTTATTAGATTTCATGAATGGGCAAGCAACCGAATCCCTTTTTAATAAAAATGAAAAAATCAATCACCTTCAGAAACAGAGGGAGCAATCTCATCTTGAGTGGTGTAAGGAGAAAATGAGGTACCATTGTTCATACTCCCGCCTCTCACATTTGCATCATCTCTATTAATAAATCTAGCCATATCCCTGAGAATTGTATGATTCACAGCCTCAGTTAAAAGGAAGAGCGGTCATATAAAAAATTCCTCATCTAAACCCAGGTGCATAGAAACTTATTCTATAATGTTATGGTTACTTTTTAAATAACCCCTTGCATTTCAGTTATATATATGAACTTCCTTCAGTGTAAGAGTCGATCCAAATTTATTGACGAATTTCATTGATATGAAGCTATAAGACACCGCTAATACACTATATTACGGAACAATTTACGACTACTTGTAACTTTCAAGAACTTGATAAGAATTCCTCAAAAGAAATTAATATGTGTGTCCAAATTATTCAGTTTTATTTCAAATAGCACCATGCTTAGTGGCCAAGGTCGTCTGGCAGTGTAATTGATTTTAGGCAATGAATTATGAATTATCAATCTTCAATTACTAAATTAGAATTCAATTGTACTGACCACAAATGCTGTAACCAAAGTAACAAACACAGGTGCGGAGCAAATATGAAATTTCAACAGAAGACCTCACTGCTATAAAGAAATTGTATGCAATTATCAAACATCATTCAGCATAATACTGGGGTCTTTAACTATATAGAGCTCTTTATAAAAAGTTAAAATTTTGATGCAATCAGAAAGATTTTTTGTTCCAAACACATATATGCTTACTAATGGTGGGAAAATAAAAGATCAAGGCAACCAAAATGAATAATTAACACCAACCTCTCTGCATTGGTTGTGAACTCAGGCGGAATTTCATTATTTACTAGCATTTTCATCCCATGGATGTCAGTCACATATTTCGGCAATGTGTCAGTTGGCTCCAAATGTTGCTCATCAGTATAACGATCAAAGCCTTGCCGTCCCTGAATTAGGAAAAACAGAGAGAGACAGTGATTTCAGTAAACAAGAAAAAAAAAACAATCCATGACATAGCTCATAGACCAAAAAAACAGTGTATGAGTAGGTTTATACCATCAGTACTGTGGATCTATCAGGAAATTGACCATTCAAAATAGCAGAACCACGGCTATCTTTACCATGAGATTCAGTTTCAGCATGATTGTCCACTGCGGAGGTTAATTGTCTAAATTTATCCTGCCATAAAGTAAGAAGATGCCTTACTGCATTTGTCAAGATAAGATGCTTCTGCTGATTACTGGGGAATAGTGAAAAATCAAATTAAACAGTAGAGGTATCACCAAAATCGGGAAACAAGGTACTTAATTTCACACAAGTGTCAACCTTATGAAGTACGAACTGAAGGAAAAACCCCAGTGAGATCCATACAATGTGGTGTTGGTGAACAATACTAATTTGCAGATTAAGGTGCTCGTTGACCTATTCTATTACTAGGTTGACTGATTGTGTAACTTTATCATCGTTCCAAGGATTGTCATATTCTCATGTTTCTGATATAATAATAAGGTGAAATGGGATGCCTATAACAAGTAGGAATTATTCATGGTTCAGGACAGTACAAAAATATGCCTTCTAGCACAAAATTTGTCCTCCTTACTTATCCAATGCATGAATCCTTTAGCAGGTAAGTCACAGTCCTGCTCCCAACTTAATCATTTCAAGTATTTCAAAAAGGAACGGACTCAAGAAGCCATATGATTTGAGAAGATTAAACCTTTACTCATAATTTTTTTCTTTTTTATGTACGTTTTTCAGTAGGAGCTTCGTGACAGTTAATGAGGACATCATAGTTTAATAATCAGTTTCTATACATAAGGAAGAGTAATCAATGCATTCTACAGTATATGAACAATGAATAAACACTGACAACCACATGAAGTCACAAGAGTGCTACTTACATGGGAAGTTCTAATCTTCCACTGCAATTGATCATGTAGATGCTGTAGATTCAAGAAAGCAAAAGTCAATTAAGAAAACCCGTCGCTAGACCGATTGACAGAAAACTCATCCCTAGATACCCAAAGAATCCTCTTAAATCCTGAGGAAAAGAAGACAAAATTTATTGCGCTAAGATTCGGGGCCTGTCTATCAACTAATTTTGTTTTGCTCTGCTTTTTTCATTATAAATCTAACACAAGATCTGATCCCACTTGTCTATTCTGAACAATTATCAGTGTGCCAAATAGGTCACCTTAACTCAGCATTAATTGGATGTTCATTGGCTTGATCTTTTCTTTTTAATCATCTGAGACATCTCAATTTCAGGGAAGATTATCTTACTTATTACTATAAGCTTAATGAAATGCACTATATTTTATGTACACCAGACAAACTATCCCCAATTTTTTATGACACAATACATTTAGTTATCAATCCCGCAGAATGATAAAAGTAGTATATACATATTTTTTTTTAGTGGAAGTTCCTTCCACAAACTTTTAGACTGAAGACTAATAATTCTAAACTGGTATGTATTCTGTAAAAGTTAAATCTGTGAGACTATCATGGACATAGAAAAACAAAATATATAGCGTAAAATAAGAACAATAAAATGCAGATATCTCCTTAAAGGATGTTACAACAGAATATGGCATCACCCATAAGCCATGACACTCGTTCTTGTAGCATATGTCATCTGTATGCTATATGATTGTTACCTTTAAACTGTTTGATATGGCAGACGCATTTATGACTTGGGGCAAAATCCCATATTCACCCAATAACCCTAGCATGGATGACATGAAGATATACTTCTCATCATCTGCAGCCTAACAAATACATAACAATCAGTAGCCGTAACAGAAATTAAAAACAATAAAAAAAATAAAAAAACTGGCAGTTTTTAAAAGCACAGACATAAGAAATGCAAGGAACAAATAAAGATGACATATCCAAAGTTATTCAGGCAAACATATAGAAACACTGGACATGTAATAAACTTTATCCTGATTAGAAAACAACTGCTGTCGACTCACATTAGGAAACTTTACACCGACAATCAGACATAAGTTTGTGTTTACATCCATTCTAAAACAATAAATAAGTGGTGAAAGCTCACAAGGCACCAAACAAACCAATTAAGGAAATTTCGGATAAGAACAAAATTTCCAGGTCAAATGATAATTAAAGAGCTCTAGCGCCTACACTTTTCTATGTAAGTTCTGTGAACCAATGGAACACCATACTTCAAGCAGGGAAGAATAAGCTTGTTAAATAAATGAGTAAAAAATGGCATCTAATCTTGTCCATCAGATAGATTATACACAAACTATCATTTCTTTCTCACTCTCGAACCGGTTAAATAATACCATGTACCGACCAGCTGGAGCTCAAACTCAACCTCCACCCATTTATTTTTAGGAAATGTCCACACAACAGATATATCCTCTGAGCTTTTAAATTTTCATCAACAACCTTACAAGTTTTTGGAAAAAAAAGCTTTCCTTTCCCAGGATATAAGCCAAAAAGTTACTTCTATTTTGTATTGTCATGGAGGTCTTCTGAGAAACCCAGTCAAAGAGCTTTTATTGTCATGAAATAGAGACAATTGTAACAAATGGTATTGCAACCCATTTTCCCAATACGATTTCTTGGGCATCATTGTTGCTATTTTTTCTATAAACAACAAAGAATAGGACTTCCTGTTACAAACTACCATAATAATCTAAAATAGCCAGTAACATTTTCAATTATTACTTTACCTTCAATTCATGAGTTAGTTTAAGATTTTCTTCAAGATCTCCTTTTCTGCGAGCCAACTCATTTAACGCAGAAGTAGTGGCTTCGTTCTGCTTCTCATCAATTGCCTATCAAATGAGGTAATATCATTTCATGCTTCAGAAGTTGCAAACAAAGACTACAAGTATCTTCAATTTTACAAAAGCAGAATTCCAAGAAAAAACCATAATAATTCTCAAGCGATGGACAAACCATCCGTAAGTCAGCAAATTTCCTCTCCAATGCATACTTCTCATTCACCAAGCGCAATTCCTGATACAATGAAGACTACTTAATCCTCACATTTGAGTATGCAAAATAACACCAATTAAAAAAAAAATAAAGCAAATATTTATGGGGGGGAAAAAAAAGGCAAGCTATGAACTGATATACCTTCACACAAGCAACAGAAACTTGCCCACGAAGAAATTGGATCTCCTCTTCCTGAGCTCTGGCTCGGGAATAAAGTTCCTGTTCATTAAATTACATAGTGTCAAAATATCAATAAAGTTTCATTTTTTAAGTGTAGATTAATGAAGTACCAGTACCATAGCTTCTGGATCTTTAATATGGACACCATTGTCATCTTTTAAATTCTTTGGAGCAAGCTGTGTTTCAGAGCCATGCCTACAGATGGAAGGGGGGGAAAAGATGCTTCACATCAGGAAGATACTACAAACCACTATAAATTACGTAAGTAATGGGGATCTGTATTTCATGGTATAGATGCTTAATGAAGGAAATAATTAAAAATTTCATAAGAACTTAAGAGCTTTTGTGCAGAGTGCACTGGATGAGACTTATCTACCACATATAAGTTCTTATATGCGCAGAAAAGCTCTTAAGTTCTTATGAAAAATTTCATAAGAACTTATATGAAGTTGAAAATTATGAGACTTTTCAACATCATATAAGTTCTTTTTCAACTTAAAAAGAATATTATAAATATTTATTACTTATCATCCAGATAAGACTTCTAATCCTAAATGGCTGTCTTGTGACTCCAAGGGTTCGTGTTCTCAACCTTTTTAATGGACCAAATAAGAATCTCGCTGCTCTTCTTAATCAATATCTGTTTTGTCGGTTACATTCTTTATTACCATTTTCATTGTCTAGAAACTTCTTAACTAGAAAAGCAATAACTAAGTCTACAATCCACGTATACAAACCACAACTCAAGCTCCGATTTTCAAATATAAAGTTATCTTAACAGTTGACAAAGCATAAAAGGTTCCTACTGTTCTTAATACCAAAAGTCTTTTCCCCAGCAATCTCCGGAGAAACTCTCATGTCCACCATTTTGAGCATAACTAAATTCTAGCCCGTAAGGGTCGTAAAATCATTGAAAAAATAAAGTCCACGAGCTACGCAACCTAATTCGCGCTCTAGGCTAGCATGAAATAATTAACAAGTGCGAAAGAAGTTTCCATCAATTTATTTCCTTCCTTACCAAAAGGGATTTATAACAATGCTCAACTATTAAAAACAGAGAAATACTGAATCAATCAACCTAGAAACACAATCCTGGTGAATAAATACTATTTGTAATAAGCTGGTTTTGGGTATTACCTGTTGAAGACATCAGTGCTCCTATTCTGCGTCCCACGATCCGTCAACTGCTGAGATGCACTTGTACTCGAAGACATCTAATTGGCAGTTCAAGGTTCTCTTCAAGATAACCTCCGATATTAACGTAACTGATTGTTCCCATTATAACTAAGTGAATCTTGCATTTTACTCCATTTCATTATCCCATTCCCGAATTTAGTTTGAAAACTTTTGTATACACCACTGCCAAAAATTGCAAGAAGCTCCCTACAATTAATAAGCTATAAAGAATTCATCAGACTGTAAGAAATATCAAAACAACAAACATTAGGTTCGTACGGCGTTTACCACGAAAACCCAACTATCCAAAATACATATTACAAATGCAATTAATTACAACTAGAGCTTCAATTAGTGAGAAATACCCTTCAAACCCAAATCATTAATCCATTAAAGAACCAATCTTTGTCTTGATTTCAATTTCCTATGGTTTTCGTCCACATTTAGTAATTCCGCTGAATCACAGTCCCTCCTAAAACAGAAAAAATAACAGAAACCCAGTGACCCACGATCAGTGTTGAAGCTAAATCTTAACTCTCCACCCCAAAATTCCAAAAACCCAAATAAAATCAATCAATTCCGCCCACAAAACTAACGAACCGACTCAGGTGTTCAAATTTAACAACTCTAAAATATTTTCCCGAAACAGAAAACAAACAAAATTAAAAACTTGGGAATGTCCCGTAATAGTAATAAACGCAGATAATCATGATTAGAAAATGAATTGGGTACCTGTTGATTTTGCAGAGGGATATATCCGAGGGAGCTATGAAAGGAAACCCAGCTACAGATCTGACACTCTGCCTGCCTAGTAGTCTTAGAGAGAGAAAGTTGTAGAGAGAGAGAGAGAGAGTTGTAGAGAGAGAGATGGGTTTGTTCTTCCGAAGTCAATGGGGGATTAAGCTGGTTGAAGTTTTTTCCCACGTACCATTAATTCCTGCAAAATATGAAGTATTGGTTGGCAGATGGAAGATTGGGTTTTGAAAACGGGATTTTTCCTCTTTTTTTCTACAATATTAAAAATAATATTTGAGATTCACGTTTGTGTGTATTTAATTTTATGGTGGCCAAGAGGATAGGTGGAGTGTGAAACGGCGGCGTCCTTAGAAGTGGGATTCCCTGCCGACTCTAGCAGTTTGTTCCATCCATTCGGATCCGGTTCCTCTCCGGACCTGTCTGTCCCGATGCTGCGGACCTGTTTATTCTGACCCTTGATTCAAATCGTACGACCGTAAATTAATTTTAAAATGTACGTTTCATATCATAGGAATATGATTTAAGAAGTATATTTCATAACACATTCATGCGTTATATTGATAATAGTAGGCATGAATAAATTATCAATCAAACAATTTGAATCAAAGTATTGATGCAAACTGTGATCGTATTGCATTGTAATTCCAATTACATAAGTTATGGGTAGTTGATTGAGTATGTTAATATTGATTAAATTAATTACTCAATTAACGTCGTATTGGGCTTTAAAAGTGAGTTTCAGGAGTCTAGGCATATTGGGCTTTGATCTATTGGGATTGTAAACCAAGTTGCACTTGACAACTTAAGTGAGAAAGCCCAAAAGACCCAAGGAACCTATTAGATTTGGAAGTTTCTTACATATATGTCAACCCGATTCAAAACGACACAAAAATAACAAGTTTTGAATTGACACATTAACTAATTGGATCGTTATTATGTTACACATTAAAAACATAACAAGTTTACCCACGAGTAAACTCATTTCAATCCGCTAAGAAAAAAGTTAGTTTGATACTTTTAAACTGCTAAAATACTTTGCTACAATAGTTATAGTATTTAATCTCACATAAGTGTGAGGTTAAAAAAAATTTCAAAGAACATTAAAATTCATAATAATTAATCAAGTGTAGAAATGTGAAGAAAAAAAAATGCAAATATTCGTGATCACATCTTCTACACTTTGAAGATGGGTACAACTTGTTTGGATTTTTAATATCCTACATAGGGGAGTTCAAAATAAATAAAAATTCACAATAATTAGTGTAAATGTATAAAAAATATAAAAAGAATATATAAATACTCGTAATTACATCTCCTACGGTTAAACAATAATTAAACTGTCATTTAAATTTTTAACACCCTCCAAACCCTCGACAAGATGGTTTTGCATATTAAGCCCGCATATAGTGTTTGCAAAAGAAAAGAGACTCGGCCCGTTACGCTACATCCACTCTGACCCACTCTGACCGCCTATTTTGATTCTGCTAGCCCATTAATTCTTCCCTCCCTCCACCACCCACCTCCTCCTTCCCTCAAACGGAACTCCGTTTCCAAAAGCAGTGAAGGAGAGTGGCTTCATGCAAGGGCTTTCTCCGACCACCCGTTCCGGCAGTTCTGAACCGGAAGACTTGACTAAAACTGGTAATTTTCACCGTTCTTTGGATTTACATTCTCTGTTTTTACCACCTCCGTGTTGAATTCACCAGTTTTGCTGCCCAATTTGCCTTGTGTTTTAGATAAGAGAAGTAAAAGAAGTAGACGATATGTTCCGCAGAAGAATTCCGTGGCGTATGCATTGTTAATCACACTTTACCGGTAATCTGGACTTGTATTTAACTGTTTTTTTTTTTTTTTTGTGGATTTGTTTTGTCATATTTTTGGAAGTAGGCGTTAGTAATGATTAGTTTTTCTCAGGGGACTTGAAAATGGGAATGAATTTATGCGTAAACAGGAGCTTATCGATGCAGCTGAAGCGAGTGGACTTTCTCGTGTGCCTATTATGTATATTAATTTGGCAGTTAAATTCTTTTTTGTTTGTAATTTGTGCTTAATTTTGGAATGTTTGTGATGTGTGTTGTTAGGCCAGAGATGGGAAAGGGAAAACCGGGAGGTCCAGGACACTTTGCAGGTTCTGGACGGGAATGGTATAGTGGATGGTCCTGCATGAAGACATTGGTAACCAAGGGCCTAGTTACAAAATCAAGCTGCCCAGCAAAGTATGGCTTTTGTTTCTGCATTTGCTTCTCGTGTTTTTGTGCTACTGAGGATTTATATATTTATTATGTATTTTTTTCTGCCTCTGAACTTGTTAATTTGAATGGTAAAATAGGCCACACTGGTTTTGTGAAACTGAAAATGAACTATTTATAAAACAATCATCATTTACAAATTATACGGTATGAAAGATCTACTTTGACGTGGAATTCATAGAACCTTTGTTCTTTATAGAAGAATGCCTTGTGAACAGGAACATGGGTAAATGTTTACATTCTAGGTAAATGACATTTAAGTTGATTACAACCTTAAGCAAAATACATGAGCTGTGAACCATGTTTTTTATGGTTAGTTTCGAGATGAGCTAGTACTTGCCCGAAGCAAATGCTGAAAAATCATATGTATTATGGCAGTCAATTCTTATAAATTTACAAGTTGTTGAGTTACACTTGGATTGCGTATGTAACAGCAGATGTGTAATGCATGTTGCAAATGTAGGTACATGCTTACTGAAGAAGGTCAAGAAGCTGCATGTGAATGTCTAACCAGGTCTGGTATGGCAGGTCCTATCAGAAAAACTGCTAATGCCAAAGGGCTTTCTGTTCTGGATGTGGATACTACTTCACATCAGGAGCTTGATCATTCTGACTCTGGGGAAGAGGTCATATTGTTATCAACTAATGTGAGTAGGAAGAAGAATTCGCTTGATATTCCAGAGGAATACATCGGGAAGGTATATGTCTAACTAGCTTCTAAATATTTACTTGAACAGTTGCTCTTTTTAACGTATCATGTTAGATTGGAAGTGTCAAAATCGCGCCTATACAGAGTTTTACAACAACCATAATTTAGGAGTCCCAAGTTAACTTCTGGTTATATATTTGCAAGACTGTAGTGGATACTTATAGCACTTTTTTCTTAGATTTGAAAGTCACCTTTTTTCCAGTATTGTTGAGCACAGCTGATATACTGTTAATATGTTGCTAATTGACTTCTTGGTTTTCAGAGTTATCCTGTGCCAAAGTCTACTTTGGATGGTTTTGAAGCAAGTCGGAATGTTTTCTCGTTGCCACCTCTAAGCTTTGGGGAGAGATTTGAAGATGCATATGAAGTAATCTTGGTTTTGGATGATCGAGAGCAATTTGCCACTAGGGGGTCAGTAGCTTATTATTTTTTTTCTTCTGCTGTTTCTTTTTATGATGAAGCTAGTCAATGGTACTTATTGTTCTTTCTTGACAAGAACAGAGTTTTGGGGTTAAAAATAGTCAGCAACATGAATGGTCCTTGCATACATGCTCTCTTTAGATCTCATCACTAGTCACTATCCATATTTCTTGAGTAGGGTTGACAATAATGCAGGAGCTAGTTTTCCATCTTCATCCCCACCTTCACCACTATGACTTATCCCCATCCTTGCCCCCCTCCTTGTCACAGAAGGTGCGCTGCCTAATTATTAATTTCCCCATTTTCACCTTGTATCCATATCCCTGTACCTGAACAACAAATAAGGGGAAAACAAAACACCAAATGGATGAAAAATTGATTCAACCAAGTAATTGTTAATATGGCAAGTATTACCAGTTTTCTATATCTATTTATTTTTCTTGTTATTTTACTATGTTCAATGGTAGTGTTCCTTCCTATTATTTGTCCATTGTTCTGCTAGTGTTTTTAGAATTGTGACTGATTTGGTGTATATTGTGTCTAGATCGCGGCCTGGAAGAATTATTGAGAATGTTCGCACTCAATTCAAAATCAAAATAGAGGTTGTTTTCTCACTCTTTTATATGCTAGTTCTTCCAACGGTTTCGTACATTAACTAGAAGTAGAATGTGTAGCATTGGATATCATTTTATTTTCTGTATTATTGGTTTTTCAAAACAGGTCGACTTTTAAGACTGCTTGTTGTTACCTTGTTTGTATAGTTAATCATCTGCTTCATGTTTGAGTCAGGTGGAACGTTTAAATACAATGGAAAATAAACCGAGACATTCTTGCAACTGGGGCTCATTAAAGCAAGAAACCCACCATGGGATTTCAGTTTTTCCTCTATGAAGCACTCAACTGATTTAGTCTGTTCAGCCTTGGTTAAGTACGGCATAAGCTCATCAGTTTCACTTTCACCGTACTGGGACTAACTTAGTAGTTTAAGTAGCTAGCATAGGACTCAACTGCCCTATTTGTTGCTGCTTTGAAAATATTTTTACATGGTTCTCTTGTTACTTTTAGGCAATCTATCTCTTACGAAGATCGGTGGAAAGATATAGAGATATGAAAAAGGATTTGTACATGGTCTTTATAGATTTGGAAAAGGCGTATGATAGGGTCCCAAGAGACATTCTTTGCAGGATTTTAGAGAAGAAAGGACTACGAGTAGCAAATATCGAAGCTATAAAGGATATGTATGATGGAGCAAGGACTGCTGTAAGAACTCACGAAGGACAAACCGAAAGCTTCCCCATAACTGTAGGGTTACATCAAGGCTCATCTTTAGGTCCTTACCTATTTGCATTGGTAATGGATGAGTTAATGGGACATATTCAAGGTGATATTCCTTGGTGTATGTTTTTCGCAGATGATGTAGTGTTGATAGATGAAACTTAGGAAGGAGTAAATGTGAAGCTTAACCTTTGGAGAGAAGTGTTGGAATCTAAAGGTCTTCGCCTAAGTCAGTCAAAGACAGAGTATATGGAGTGCAAGTTCAGTGTAAACGGAGGCTCAAATGAGTTAGGGGTGAGGATTGGAGATCAGGTGCCAAAGAGCGACCGCTTTAGTTACCTAGGATCTACCTTGCAAAAGAACGGAGAGTTGGATGAAGACCTCAACCATAGAATACAAGCTGGATGGATGAAGTGGACGAGTGCATCCGGCGTGTCGTGTGACCGTTGTATGCCATTGAAGCTCAAGGGAAAATTTTATGGGACGGCAATAAGGGCGGCAATGCTTTATGGCATGGAATGTTGGGAGGTGAAGCATCAACACGTACATAAAATGGGCGTAGTGGAGATGAGAATGCTTCGTTGGATGTGTGGGCACACGAGAAAGGATAAGATTAGGAATGAGGATATCCGAGGTAAAGTAGGAGTAGCCGAAATTGAAGGAAAGATGAGAGAAAATCGGTTACGGTGGTTTGGACATGTGAAACGAAGGCCTACTAACGCTCCGTTTAGAATATGCGATTACGGGATAGAGTTTAAGGGCCGAAGGAGTAGAGGAGACCTAGGAAGACTTTGGAAGAGACTCTAAGAAAAGACTTAGAGTACTTGGATCTAACGGAAGAAGTGACATAAGACCGAGCACAATGGCGTTCTAGGATTCATATAGCCGACTCCACTTAGTAGGAAAGGGCTTTGTTGTTGTTGTTGTTGTTGTTGTTGGTTCTCTTGTTACTTTTCATGACAGTGAGATAAAATCAAGCACATTATTTCGCATCTTCTAATCTGTTCTACTTGTTGTTTATACCCACTGGTGAAATCCAAAGTCCAATTTCTGAATTTGAGTATGTTACTCATAAACTTCAGTTATGATTCTAAGAGCTTTCTTAATAATTATTTGGCCATGCCATTCTTGTTGTTACAAATGTTTTGGGTCTGTCTTAGTGTTCCTCACGTGTTTGCTATTTCACTTATCAAGTTGTTGCGATTGACCTAAATGGCATCGTAAGACTATTTTTGATAAATTCATAAAGAGAAATTATATTGTAGGTACCACCAGCCAGCATTTCTGAGTGGTAGTATGGTCCGCTAGAATTTTGCCATTGTACAGTTCTGGAATATAAAAGAAAATTTTCCAGCCATTATTTTACTATGTAAATAATTGTGGCTTGTGGTAGTGAAAGATAACTCCTTATATTAGTTCCTGTTGCAATATATTTTCTTCTAGCTGTGGAAACTGTATTTAACAATCTGACTCTTCTACAGGTTAGAAGGTTACCAGTTGGAGACGGAATCTGGATAGCTCGCCATAAACATCTTCAGAGCGAATACGTGCTTGATTTTATAGTTGAGAGGAAGAAAGTCGATGATTTGCGCTGTTCAATCAGAGATAACCGTTACAGAGACCAAAAACTGAGGCTTTTGGTATTGATTCTTAAGACTCATGGGTTTATCTTTATTAGCTATACAAAAATTTGCTATAATATGTTGATACTACTGTTTTACAATTGTTTCAGCATAAACTAAGCTGCTCCTTTACATGCTTAGTATTTATTTTATTGTGGAAACTTGAGTTTCTCCTAATAATATATCTTTACCTTTTAATATCTGCTTTCACTGCATTTAATTGGAAAATGTTGAATTACAAACCTTAAATGTTACAGCATGAAAAGGAGAATACCTGAGTAAAAACCTGAAACATATTCCTATCAGTTGTTCTTATTCTCTTTCCTCCCATAACTATGGATATTATAAATTGAACGTCACATGATTGTCCCTTTTGAGGATTTAATATTTAAAACATTTTGTCTGTGCTCATTTCATTGCTTAAGTATCTAGGATGAACAATTTGATAAAGAAAATCATGTATCTCCTCCTGTAAAATGCATTACCCAGGCGGGGAATTTGGTGGCTGCAGTTTTAGGCCAGATGCACTTGTGATTGTGGCATTGGGTGCATACTGCACATCTTAGTGCTTATTTTCCCAGTCTAAATTGACAGTGTTTTTTGGTAGGTATTGGCAATAAACGTTCTTTTTTTTTATTGAAAGTAAATAAATCAAAAGTTCGTATGCATCAAAAACTTGTTTGAAGAAACAAAGTAAATGATTGAAGCATTCTCTAGTTTGGAGAAAACTATTGGGAGTTTTGAGCAAGAATAAAGTAGCATTATCTTGGGTAGTGTTTGTTATGGTCTTCATACGTTGTGTTTAATAGTTTAGTGAAACAGTGGTTTCATTTTACATATGAATTTATTGCCACTCCCCACAGTCCTCATTCCGGACTCACTGACACCGACCAGTTTGGGTTGTTTAGGCTGTCACACCTGTTTTCTGGCATAACCGAACAGAACCCTAACCGATGGTGGTGGTGGTGGTGGTGGTTCTATCAGCAGTTGAGTGGTGGGGGTGGGCCATACCAAATTCCCCCCACCCCTAACAAGGAGTACTATTTGGTTTAGCAGTGCTTATGAATGCAGAATTTTCTGATTTATTTAGTTACTTGGCAGAGTAAATTTGTTGAGATTGAGTTTTTATGTTTGCTGAATTATGGTTTTCTTGACTTTGTTGTAGTGATATTGATACCTTGTTTTGCATTATACTTTGTATACTAAAGGAAAACATGCTTTTATAGTGAAACCTCTATATAGTCATAATGTTGGGACCAAACCAATTTTATAACTTTAGGGAGGTTATTACTTAATAGACATGTAGTTCAAAAAAATTATTTTTTGACTAAGTTATCCTTAATGAATGTTGCATGGATACAAAGAACCACATTAGTAGTAAAGCATATGAATTTCCAAGATGAAGCTTACGAATCTCCAAGATGAAGTACTAGAAAAAGAAAGACACCTAATCTCTAAAATATTTTATTTCATCTTAAATTTTTAATCATAAAAATATAGCATATGTTTTGACATTGACAATTATTACTATGTGGAGGCAAGTTTTTTAAGACAGGACCTAGAAAAACTCACTTTATTACAATATGGAGTTTATTCTTACATATAACTGGCCCAAGTTAGGACCATATTTTTCTTATGACTACATGGAGGTTATTCCTTTATAGAGTATCACGATAGAGAGGTTTTACATGGCCCAAATTATTACACCATAATTTTAAATATTTGGTTTATAATATATAAGCCCTAACTCTTGGTTTGAAGCACTTGAATGGGGATCTAATAGATCCTGACCTTGTGTTTATGTAAGGTATGATTCACTCCATGGCACTGTAGTGAATGACTGAAATTGATTGCTGATGCCTTCCTTTGGATCTTCATTATACATGAAAACTAATGAGAACGTACAAAGGCGGATTTGTATTAGTCTGTCATTGATTTGCTTGTGGCGCTTCATGTTCGGCTTCTTTTGTCTCTCACTGTCTACAGAGAGGATTTGTTTGCTTCTAAAGAGATTGTTCACCTTTCCTGAGAACGTTGGGTTCACTGTGAAATATATTATTTCATGTTTATTCTGACATGTTTGCTCCTTCAATTGCATGTGGCAGAGATGTGGTCTTAAGAAGCTGATATATCTTGTGGAAGGTGATCCAAATTGTTCTGAAGCAGCGGAAAGCATTAAAACAGCGTAAGCATTTTTGTGAATATTCCTAATGGCCATGTCTCTTCATTCTTGACTATTCCATTTAAAGAAAATCATTTTTAAACTGAGAAGTAAACCTCTCATTTGTATAAGTCATCAATTGAATGGTGATGAATTTTCTTTTACCTTCTGTTTCCGTATGTCCTACATCAGTGTAGTACTCGTTTTCCAATACTACAACCCAGCCAAAATATTCTCTTGGTCTTGGGTACTGTTCACAGCCCTTTAAAAGGCTCAAATAAATTCTTCCATATCATGTAAGCCCCTAATTCAAACCCTAGTTTCTGCACTTTTGAAACCGTAATCTCTAGCCATTGCACTTCAAATAGTCTTCCGAAAGAATGCCCAATATCAAACCTCCTTGCTGCCTTATATATCTGTATTATCAAACAGGAAATCTAGCCCCTCCAAACCTGTATTCTGAGTTGTCTTTCGTATAATAATTATGGTCATTGAAGTAGGGTTAATTTTGAAGGATAACTAGAAAAAGATGGCATATTCTTACCATCTCTGGTTTCGATTAAAGGTTCTGTAGTATATACTTTTAGTTAGCATGTTAAGAAAAACTAAAGAGATAAGAGATATTAGTTTTAAATTTTAATACACATCTGAGGATCCTATAATCCTGTTATTTAGGTCATGTTCTCAATTTGCCAGTCCAGTTTTTAGGTACCCATGATGATTTTGCACTTCTCAAAACCCTTTGTGTGAGCGACTGAAAGTAAATCATATAATAATTCTTCTATTTATGTCCTAATGATTGCAAAAGAAACAATTATCATTTGGAATCCATCTTCAACAGTTATAGTTCTCATTTCATACAGCTGTTTCACAACTGAAATTTTGGAGGGATTCGATGTTCAAAGAACCAGTGGCTTGGCTGATACACTGAAGAAGTATGTTCATCTTACTCAAGCGATAACTCAGTATTACAAATCAGAGTATTTGGAGGAACAAAGTATGAATGCTGGGGTCTGCCCTTCTTTTGATGATTTTATCAAAAGGTGCCAAGACCTGGATAAAATGACAGTTAGTGACGTATTTGCCATTCAGCTCATGCAGGTATGAACTGTTTCTGAGAGAAAGGAATATCATCTCTTATTTGACAGTTAACGATGTCTTGGTTGGCTCTGATCCCTTAATATAACAATGTATGGGTTCATTTATGGATAGTCAAATGGAAAGAAATTAAATTCTGTGGGTTTGGCTTTTTCCTTTTTACATGTATATCTAATATATACTGTCAACTTCTGGTGAGTGTCTGGAATTATAAATGCAGGTACCCCAGGTAACTGAGGAAGTTGCCATAGCTGTTCTTGATTTGTACCCCACGCTTTTATCTCTTGCCCGTGCCTACTCTCAGCTTGTAAGTCCTCACTCCCTTGGTTGGAATTTGAAATGCAATGGTGAATACCTATCACCAAGCGTGCCGCCCTTGGTGCTTCGGTGTGCAACCCTTTTTCTGCTCATTACATTTCCCTCCTAAAACATTTTCTACTTTACGTTCATTAATTTGCAATCTTTTAAGATTTCTTGTAATCTTGTTAAAAATAAAAGAGTTTAACGGTTGCTGGGTCATGACCGCATGGGACGGAGGGATTAAAGGTGGAAACAGAAATACTTTGTTTTCTTTTCTTAATTCTATTTCAGTTTGGTCTGATTACATTACCAAATAGCATTGATCTGTTTGTTTACTTATTTAACCTTGTTCTAACATTTTTTTTTTTTCACTCAAATTTCTTCATTTGTTTGTAAATTGTAAATAGGAAGGCGACGTCGATGCACAGGAGAAGATGCTTAAAACGCAGAGTAACAACGTTGTCAATGCAGGTGCTAGTAAAAATATATTTCAACTCGTATGGGGAAATTGACTGTTTCTTGTCCTACGTCGTGAACGGACAATGAGTTTGACTAAATCAGAAACTCATATGGGCATGATTGAGTCGTATTGTAAGCAAAATCAAGTCAAACTTTGTCCGCAGGTAATTTTAAGAGTCGCATATCAGTTACGTGGTGGTTGTGTTTCCATTCAACGTTTTGCAATGTGGGTAAATGACGCGTTTTTTATGTCATGGAGCTAGATTATAATATTTGAATACGTCTTATAGGTTTTGAAATAAAACCTACATCCACTACTCCATCCTCCTCCTACATGGACTGCCACGTGGATGAAAGTTTTATATATTGCCTTATATTGTAAATGGAGGTGTGAATGCCGACATAAATAAGCATGTGAATTTGAAGAATGAAAGTTAAAAGAGGTTTGGTATTTACTATTTGGGTGTACAGAATTTCAACATTCAATATTGGACGTTTGCATGGTAAGTGTTCTGTATAAAGAGCATATGCAATGTATGACAAACATTATAAGAGAAACATACGGAGGAAATACCATAGAGCTAGATTAGATAGATAGGGAGAAAAATATTAAAGTTATTTTTGTACTCTTATTATTTTAAATAATAAAAGAAAGTATTACTGTTATCTCGAGAACATAGAGATACTTGCTGAATCTCGTAAACATTATATTTTGTTTACTTTATGTTCTATAACACATATCCTCCATTTCATAACATCTTCATGTGTTTATACAATATATAGCCGCGTAGCCGGCTGAATTTGACACGTTCGTCGATTAACGGATAGACTATAAGGTAGAAAAATCAATGTTTGCGTTCGGAATGAGACATAATGATTTCGAATAAGTGATTAACATTCCTGATATCTCTCTCTGTCGTTTTCCCCTTTCACTTTTACAGTTGGACACGGATTTACACTGAAACTCAAACCACCGCCTCGCACATCTCACCATCAATAATTCTCCACCCCAAATTTTACACTGAAACAAACAGTAAAAATCTGTGAATCCATGAGGGACAAGTCCAGCGGCTAGCAGAACGGCAGTTGCCAGGCCTTGCGCCCCCTGCATGGAGCGACGTCAGCGTGACATCAGCGAGCGCACATAGGCCCCGCGACGAGAAATTAAATCAGTGGCCAACTGCTCTCTGCTGGAGTCGGTATCTCGGGCGCGGATCGCGAAGGTCTTGGTCCCCTGCAGGTCGTAATTGACGAGAGAGTCGAGAGTGGTGGAAGGAAATTGGGTGGTGGGAGGTCAGCAAATTGGGTAGGTTCGGTAAGGAGCAGATCAAGAGTGTTTCTTGGGAAGAGAATCCTCTCTTGACCTCATGATGGGGATCATTTTAATTATGAAATCCGAATCGTTTAAATTTAATTCAATGATTACAATTATTATAATTTTTTAAAGAATTTTTTGTTTAAAACTGTTGAATTAAATTTGAACTATCCAGATTTTTGGATCAGGAGTATCCTCAATCCTAAGCCGAGGAGAGGATCCTCTTCCTCTTCTTGGGGTTGGACTACTTCAAAAAGTATATATATTTAATCTCCCTTGTCCTTTTCAAACTGTTGCACTTGCTCCCACCCGCCCAAGACTTTCATCGTTTACTTCTCCGTCTTCCGGAAAAATCAACGGAAATAATGAAAATGTTTTAAAAATTTTAAATTTTAATAATAATAATAAAATATAAAATAAAATAAATAGTATCATATTTAATATTTTAATGTAAAAATCTAACTTTTTTAACGTAAGAATATAATTTTTTATTAAAATAAACAGTCAAGTACAAAATTTTTTTTGTTTGTTAAAACTCCTAAAAATTAAATCCCGCCCACTTTTCTAAATTCCAAATACGACCCATTGATTCCGCACCCAAATGATTCAATCACCTCCAATTTCCACAAAAACCCACCAAATTTATAAACCCACCACCATGCTGCTCCTCCAAACCCAAATCCCTAAACCTCGCCTTCATGGCCTCCCTGCTCTTCCTCTCTCTCCTCTCCCTCACTCTCTTCCTCTCCCTCTCCTCCGCCTCACGCCACCGCTCCATCTCCCCCCAACCCCAGATCCAGCTAGCCTGCAAGGCCACACGCTTCCCCGACGCGTGCCAAGCCTCGCTGAGCAAGCTCGTCACTGACCCAAACGTCACCCCTCTCGAGACTATCCATTCGGCCGTCAAGGTCTCTGATGACGGCCTCAAGACCGCGCAGGGCATGGTCCACACTATCCTGGACTCGTCCGCGGGGAACATAAACCGCACCACCGCCGCGAAAAACTGCCTCGACGTCCTCGCCAACTCCCGGTACCGAATTTCCCTCACCACCGATGGATTGTCAAGTGGTCGCGTTAAAAACGCACGTGCCTCCATGAGTGCCGCGTTGCTCTACCAATACGACTGCTGGTCGGCTCTCAAGTACGCAAACGACACCCAGATGGTCAACAAGACGATGTCGTTTCTCGACTCGCTGATCGGAAAATCCAGCAACGCGCTCGGCATGATTTGGTCGTACGACAACTTCGGAAATGACACTAAGAAGTGGGGGCCGCCGAAAACCGAGCGGGACGGGTTCTGGGAGCGGATCCCGGGCGGAGGGTCCGACCAGGGATTTCGGGGCGGGATTCCGTCGGGTTTAAAGGCGGACGTGACGGTGTGCAAGGGGAATTCGTGTGATTACAAGACGGTGCAGGAGGCTGTGAATGCCGCGCCGGATAACGCGGGAGATAAGAGGTTCGTGATTGGGATAAAGGCTGGGGTTTACGAGGAGACCGTGGGGGTGCCCTTAGAGAAGCGGAACGTGGTGTTCTTGGGAGATGGGATGGGCAAAACGGTCATTACAGGGTCGTTGAATGTGGGCCAGCCCGGAATTTCCACCTACAACACTGCCACCATCGGTACGTTTACTACGCGTCACTTTTTGGTTTTTTTAATTTTCTTTTTAATTTTTTTATCTGCCGCCGTGGGTATTTAGTTTTTTAAGATTTTTGTAATATAACGTCATATTTGGTTAGTGAAAAAATGCATGGTGGATCACACTTATAAAACGCGTTTGGTACGTGGCGTGGGACATAGCACAATTGGTCTGAACACGCTCGTCCAATTCCGTTTTGTTCCAAACATGGCATACCAACTATAGCACGGAACCTCTGTTTCGTCCCATTCATCCTATTTCATCCTGTCTACGTACCAAACTCTCCCTTATGGTGTGACCCCTCACCCACGTAATCTCAGAAGTTGAGGTTGAGGATGAGGATGGGTGCTGTAATTGCTGATTGTTCGTCAATCTTATATGTATCGCAGGAGTTAATGGTGATGGGTTCATGGCGAGTGGTCTCACGGTCCAGAACACAGCAGGTCCCGACGCCCACCAAGCAGTTGCTTTCAGATCAGACAGCGACCTCTCCGTAATCGAAAACTGCGAATTCATAGGCAATCAGGACACTCTCTATGCTCATGCCAACCGACAATTCTACAAGTCGTGCACCATCCAAGGCAATGTGGATTTCATCTTCGGAAACTCTGCTTCCATCTTCCAAGACTGCACCATCCTTGTTCGTCCTAGACAGCTCGAACCGGAGAAGGGCGAACAGAATACAGTCACGGCCCATGGAAGAACAGACCCCGGGCAGTCAACGGGCTTTGTATTTGAAAACTGCTTGATCAATGGCACGGAAGAATACATGAAGTTGTATCGGAGCAAGCCGCAGGTGCACAAGAACTACTTGGGGAGGCCGTGGAAGGAGTACTCGAGGACTGTTTTCATAAACTCGAGTATGGAAGCTCTTGTTGCACCGCAAGGGTGGATGCCTTGGGATGGGGATTTCGCTTTGAAAACCCTTTTCTATGGAGAATTCGGGAATTCCGGCGCGGGTTCTGATTTGTCCCAGAGAGTGAAATGGAGCAGCAAGATCCCACCCGAGCATGTTAATACGTATTCTCTGCAGAATTTTATCCACGTAGATGAGAGGATTAAAAGCATGAAATATTAGCGGGATTTTAAATTCCCCTTTTTAATAACAAAATACTAATTAGTGAGTGCACTAGGATCTCAATACATTATGTGCGTCAATCAATTAAAGAAAGAAAAATCAATTTTGCTTCATCTATCTTCCACTTAAATGATTTTCTTTTCTTTTAATGAAGAAAAATCATATCATTTAAGATATATATAAACAGATTATATTAATACATTTCATAAAACTGACACAATATAAACGTACCAAAATTGAAAATCAATGTACCAATATTGGATATAAACGTGCCTATCAAATATACGTACCAAAATCAGAAATTAATAATAACCTATACATGCACTTGGAAATCAATGTATCAATATTAGAAATAAACGTAGTGATTAAATAAACGTACTAAAATTGAAAATCGACAATGGTTTATACGTAACATGTTGCACTTAAACCTAACAATAATGATACATAATAGACTGTTGTTGATTTCCGATTTTGGCACGTTTATTTCCAAAGTCATTTGGCATTTCTTCATCAAATTTTGAATATCTTTGTAATCATTCTTTTATTGATTCAACAATGTTCCTTGTAATATTATCCCAAACTAATCTGTGATAGGTATGGTTTTAAAATCCGTTTGAGTGGCCTCGTTGTAAGTTTACTTTTCCTTTAAAAAAATAATAATAAGTTCAATAGCAATTAGCGAATTGGTTCCAAGATATTTTTCATTGATCGAAACACGGTTAGTACATCACGTATTTTTATACAAGTAGTTGAAAATTTTATTTTTTAAGTTAATAACATTTTAGCACATATATTCCAACATTTATAAAATAACACGTAATATACTACCTGTATTTCGTACCGCACTAAAAATCTATCCAAGGCCTGCCCCTTCACTCGCTATAGAACTGGCCATGGCCGAAGCCGTTGACTGAACAGTGAAACAGGTCACTCCCTTCCTCCAATCAAAGAAGCTGCAATCTGCAACTGAAATTCTTTTCTTATCCATCCCAAAAATAAATAAAACCAACAAAAAAATCAGCAACAAACCAAAATCCCGACATATCACATGAATTTCCAAATCCTTTACTATATTTGACCCATCCATGCCGCCCTCCTTATTTAAACCTCCATGGCAATGGCAACGGCAACGCTGTGCATCTTCTTCTTCTCCCCGCAAAACCAAATTCCTCCTCCTCATGGCTTCCCTCTTCCTCTCTCTCCTCTTCCTCACTCTCTACCTCTCTCTATCCTCCGCCTCTCACCACCACCACCAGCCCACATCCCCCCTACCTCAGATCGAACAAGCCTGCAAAGCCACGCGCTTCCCCGACGCGTGTCAAGCCTCCCTCACCAACCTCGTCACTGACCCCAGCACCACCCCTGTCCAGACCATCCAATTCGCCGTCCAACTCTCCGGCGACGGCATCGAGACGGCGCAGGGAATGGTCAAGACTATCCTGGACTCCTCCGCGGGCAACCTAAACCGCACGACCGCCGCGAATAACTGCCTCGAAATCCTCGCTAACTCCCTGTACCGAATTTCTCTCGCCACCGACAGTCTCTCACGCGGTAAAATTAAAAACGCGCGTGCCTCCATGAGCTCCGCGTTGCTCTACCAGTACGGCTGCTGGTCGGGCCTCAAGTACGCCAACGACACCAACATGGTCAACGAGACGATATCGTTTCTCGACAGTTTGATCGCCAAATCCAGCAACGCGCTCGGCATGATGGCCTCGTACGACAACTTCGGTAACGACACAAAAATATGGGCCCCGCCCAAGACGGAGCGAGACGGGTTCTGGGAGCGGCTGGAGCACGGAGGTCCGGACCCGGGATTTCGGGGCGGGATGCCGTCGGGTTTAACGGCGAACGTCACGGTGTGCAAGGAGAAATTGTGTGATTACAGGACGGTGCAGGAGGCGGTTAATGCCGCACCGGATAACGCGGGAAACGAGAGGTTCGTGATCGGGATAAAGGCTGGGGTGTACGAAGAGACCGTGAGGGTGCCCTTAGAGAAGCGGAACGTGGTGTTTTTGGGGGACGGGATGGGTAAAACAGTCATTACCGGGTCGTTGAACGTGGGCCAGCCTGGAATTTCCACATACAACACCGCTACCGTCGGTAGGTATTTTTATTTATTTTTCTATTTTTCAGAAATTATCGTAAATATTTTTTGTTTGATAATTTGAATATACTATTACGTCACAACTTGGCGGTGAAGAGTGCATTGCCATTGTCATGTAGAGTACGGGGAATTAGGCGCATGCGGTATGGGTAGTAGCTTTACCCACAAGTAAATGGAACTCGCTCTACGAGATACGTTTTCATCGCTAACGTTTTCAGTAAATATGATACAAGTAATGTTACTTGCCGTATAGAATTATAGCTAGCTTAATAGTACCTTACTGCTTATCGTATTTCGTATTACTACTGCGTTTTGTTGGACGACGTTTTTATCAGAATATGTTTCCTTCTCATTTAAGCAACAATACCTAGTTTCGCATCACTTGTTCTATAATTTTTCATGTCATTGAATCATAATTATCTTGCATTATTTTGTTAATTTGTTGATGTATGTGACAGGGGTTGTTGGTGATGGGTTCATGGCAAGCGGACTGACAATCCAAAACACGGCCGGTCCCGACACCCACCAAGCAGTTGCTTTCCGATCAGACAGCGACCTCTCCGTGATCGAAAACTGCGAATTCTTAGGCAATCAAGACACCCTCTACGCACAAGGCAACCGCCAGTTCTACAAATCATGCACCATCCAAGGCAACGTCGATTTCATCTTTGGAAACTCAGCTTCCATCTTCCAAGACTGCACCATCCTCGTCCGTCCACGGCAACTCCTACCCGAGAAGGGCGAAGACAATGCCGTCACAGCCCACGGAAGAACAGACCCTGCGATGACAACGGGTTTCGTGTTTCGAAACTGCTCGATCAACGGCACGGAAGAGTACATGAAGTTGTACCGGAGCAAGCCGGAGGTGCACAAGAACTACTTGGGAAGGCCGTGGAAGGAGTATTCGAGGACGGTTTTTATAAACTGCAGTATGGAAGCTCTTATTACACCCCAAGGGTGGATGCCTTGGAGTGGGGATTTTGCTCTCAACACCCTTTTTTATGGGGAGTTTGGGAATTCTGGACCGGGTTCTGATTTGTCCCAGAGATGGAACTGGACCAGCAAAATCCCATCTGAACATGTTAATGCGTATTCTGTGCAGAATTTTATTCAGGGAGATGAGTGGATGTCAACTTGAAATATTATTATAGGCTATTTTTAATTATGAATATTGATGGGAAATAATTTTTATACACTACATTTTATAAACTGTTTAAATTATTTAATTCAAAAGCTGTTTGTTAAAAAATAAATAAATAAATAAAAACACTGAAAATAAAAAGGATTATTGTGTTGGTGAAGAAATACGAGCGTGAAAATCATTTTTGCGTCAATTAGAAATCAGTCCTATTGTGGGCCGAAAATTTTAGGTATTATGAGAGTGATTGCAATACAAAAATGAGCAATTGTAGAGTAAAAATTAGATGAGTTCCACAATTAATAAGTAGAACTCACCTTTATCAAACTCACACCATTGATACCTAACAATTGTGTTACAAGAATCAAACTCAAGGTGATAAATTCTAACACATAAAAGTTAAACTCGCTCGAACTACTGTGAAAGGCCATAGATAACAACACATACTTTAGTGGAATGGAATTATACAAGGATTTGTTTGGTTGACACATTGAAGTGTTCACATGCTTTTATGAAATCAAAGATGTTCGATTGATTTTCCTCAAAAAAGAAAGAAAAAACAAGTATTCAGAGTATTATTTGCAGTGGAAGTTTGCTGAGCCTGTTGTCCAAGAGGCTTTGTGTGGCTTGGATAGAGTTGTTTCCTGACTCGATACATGTAAATCTCGTTTGATTCCTTGTGGAGCCCCCTTTCGGAACAACTGGGAAACCTCTGTGTAAACCTACCAACCAACGCCATTGCCGGTCTCTTATGCCATCCACATTCGATTTACATCTCCCATAAAACTCCATCGTTGACTTTGATCGGTGTGGACCGAGTGATAAGCCTCTCAAGTGATTCACTTGCAATATCGCACAATAATGCGACATAAACAAAGTATCTAATGCACGCCTTGTTATATGCCCGTAAACCTCCTCGAGTGATAAACCACATCAGCCTGATGAAGAACTAAGACGAGAATCCTATCATTTCAAAAAACAAAAAATGGCTAGAGTCATTCGAGTGTAAATATAAGGATAGAAGAAGATACGGGGAAGATATCTCACAGGAAGAAGCATTAAAACACCAATAGGAACAACTGATACTATGTCGGTCAGAGTTCTCTGTAGACCTTTCTTTTCTTTTTCTGTCAGTTCATCTCCATGAAAGACCCTTCTCAGCAACCCCACAGTGGCAACAACGTCAATAGCTAGCAATTGAGTTCCTTGCCACACATCCTGCTCATCATTTTTAGAAGAAACAAAAATAATTAATGAGAAGGAAATTGGAATCTGTGAACAAGTCCACAGGAACAAATGTAAAACTAATAAAACTCATATTTTACAAAATGTAGGAGTCAACATCCTGCTTTGTGGTTTACACAGAGGTTTCCAGTTGTTCGGAAAGGGGGCTCTACAAGGAATCAAGCATGAACCAGCACATATGGAAACAACTAAATCCACAACCAAACCAAAAAAGCAATATCAAACTAAAGTTTTATCTGTCAAAAAAAAAACCAGGCCTACCTAACATAGAACTGAGGGCAAGAAACTTTTGCTTGACCAAGTTTTGTAATTACTACGTTGCATGTCAGTGCAAGCATGAGGAGAGATGTGTCACTTGTGTTGCTAGACCCCTAGTGCGTTACCTTACTAAAAACCTGGAAGCAGATTGAAGGAGGATTAAATCTGTATAATCTTCAAATCCATCTAGAAAAATTAGAAGCCACATTAAACAATAGAGGATAACATACACATTAGTTGCAGCAGTAAAGCATGGGTCCCCTGCAAATAATTAACAAAGGACGTTACCACCATGGAACTTGCTTAGAGATAATTTGATACACCACTCATAAGCTTCAGGTTGCTTGGCTGATAGTTGATCCCAGATTAAGCTCTCAAGGGAAGAAGATTGTCTTAATAAACTGCAATGATGCATTAGTTAAACATATTGAAAATCTTAAACCAAATAAGAGGAAATCTTACGGTTAATAAAATCTATAAGCAACCAAAGTGGATAGAAAGCACACACCAGTTGCATTGAAACCTTTGAGTGAATAAAAACGCATAATTGAAATTTCAAAGTCCTCAGTGTAGTATTCCAAATCCAGAAAAACAAAGCAGATTACACATTTTCACTTTCATGCTAACAAATTAATCTACTTAATTTACAGTTCAAAAATAAAGTAAGGTTGTTGAAGCTGATACTGAAAACTTTATGGTCGCCTTATTACAATTGACTGTAAAAGGGATCAAATTTTGCCATTTTTATGGAAGTGAGGAATGGACCGGTCCTTAATTCATACACAGGACTACTCATACTTAAAGCCAAGTTTAGAATACATCCTTATTAGCAGCACTGGCAACATAGGAGATCACTGTTTGAATGGACTAGCTACAAAACTGATCAACTTCCACAAATGAACTCTTAAGTTTTGAATATAAGTGGTGTATTACCTCCTTTGAACAAAAACGTTTATGTCTCTGTCTCTACCACCCATGCAATCTCACTTGAAGCTTGCAATAAGGAGTGTCGTAGAAGGCAGCCTTGGCAGCCTGGTTCCTTAAGCACCTATAAGCTAGGTGTAGAACTAAATCTTTTTTATCAATTCCAACTCCACGATGTAGACACCAAGGAAGATGGTGTGCCTCTCTATATACACTCCACTCCAGGCACTGCATAAAGAGAGTTTCCAAGAAGCTCAACCTTTTAAACTAAATAACTAATACCGGGTATCTTTTTAATCCCTCGCTCTTCCATTTTGGTTCTCACAGCAGAAACATCAAACCAGCGGCCTGTTGCTGCATAGATATCAGACAAGAGCACATAATTACCAGGATTTTGGGGTTCAAGCTCAAAAAGTCGATAAGCAACTAACTCTCCTAGCTCAGCATTGCAGTTTAGCTTACATGCTGCTAGTAGTGCACCCCAAGCGCCAGCATGAGGCTTCTCATGCATTGATTTTAGAAGATCATAAGCTGCTTTTAACCGTCCTGACCGGCTAAGAAGACTAACTATACATGCATAATGATCAGGAGAGGGATTTAAATGGTACTTATGTCTCATTGATTCAAAGAAGTGCCAACCCTCCTCTACAAGCCCAGAGCGACTACAAACTGTCAGGATGACTGTAAAAGCAACCTCATCCGGGGCAAAACCTTCAGTTAGCATCTTATTGAAGAGGGAAACAGCCTGATCCCCTTGACCATTAATCGACAACCCTTGTATCATAGAACAATACGAAATCAAATCCTGCTTAGGCATCTCTTCAAACAAACGAGTTGCTCTTTCCATATTCCCACACATTGCATTCATGTTAATCAGAGCTGCGAGAACATGAGCCTGACGAACATCAATGGAGCTCTGGCTCAGGTAAGAATCAACCCATTTAGCCACCTGCAAGCAACCCACTTGGGAACAAGCTGACATCAAGCTCACCATTATAAACTCATCAGGCTTAACATTCTTCGTACTCATTTCTTGAAATATCTTTAAAGCCTCGTTAGGTTGACCATTTTGAGCATACCCTGATATCAATGCTGACCACGCAACGATATCTTTATCCGAGCATTGCTCAAACAAAAATCTCGCAGACGCCATATCTCCACACTTGGCATATCCATCGATCATAGTAGTATAAGAAACCACATTCTTCTCAGGCATTTGATCAAAGATCCTCCTAGCATTGACCAAATCCCCCATCTTTACAAACCCACTAATAATCGCATTCCACGACACTGCATTTCTCTGGGGCATCTGATCAAACAGCTTGTTGGCCTCCACCAAATCCCCAACACTAGCATACCCAACAACCATAGTCGTCCAAGAAACCACACTTCTCTCAGACATTCCATCAAACACCTTGCGAGCGCAAACAATCTCCCTGCATTTCCCGTACAAATCAATCAAACTGGTGCCTACAAACACATACCCGTCAACTCCACACCTCACCGCCGACCCATGTATCGCCCTTCCTTCCCAGACCCTCCCCTCACTCGCACACGCCTTAAAGAGAGACGGGTACGTATACCTATCCGGAAGGCCTTCCTCCCTCTTCATCCGAACAAACAGAGAAACAATGCGCAAAAAACCAGACCTTTCGCAGTACCCTTTGATCAGACAGTTCCAGAGAAAGGTGTCGGGCTGAGGACGCGGTCAAATACAGCGGTGGAGTAAGAGAGGGAAGCGAGAGCGTTGGAGAGGCAGATGAACGGGCTTATGAGGAAGCAATCTTGCTCCAAACCTTTACGGACAATGTGGGCGTGGATTTGTTCGAGATGGAATTGGGTTTTGCAGCCTTTGAGTAAGGATGCGATTGAAGGCAGCAGAGAAGTGGGACGGCGGCTGTTGGGCGGAGCTAGCGATGAGTAGAGGCGGATTGTAGGCATGGGTCTCTCTCTATTGCAAATCCAATTACACTGTTAACTTTCCACGACTGGAATCTGCTACAAGGAACACATTCTCAGTTTCTCTAAAGACGTTATGGTACAATTCAATGCCATGTAACAACTGAGAGATAAAAATTGGAGGGAAAACTTGCTTGGTTGCCGAGAAAAACACCAAGAAAATGGTGACAAAGGCAGACAAAATATATTTTCCAACTTATTTGCCTCGGGCTTTAAAGGCGTACGACTTCCTAACGAAAACACAAGGAACAAGAAGATGACGAAAGCAATCATCACATGCAGACAATATAAGACGAGACAACCGCTTACGTAAAATCTTAAGTTATTCCCATAGACTGGATTCACTAACCTCTCACTCCGGGCAACGTAAGTCCAAATTCTTGGTTTCGACACAATTGATACAACAATGCCATGTATCAGCAACCGGCAAAATGCAATGGTCCGGGGACTAATGCGATAGTTGTCACGCTTCGATTTTGAGATACGTTCAAATCGACTCATGACAAAAAATAATAATGCTACAAGATATATAGAGTCAACTGGGGTTCATACATAATATACATCAAATATTTAATGGAAACAAAAATACAATAAAGGGTAACAAATTGAACACATACTACTGTCACTCACACGAGCTTTATAGCTTATTTAGATTTTGTTTTTCCCGCTTCACCTTTCTAGATAAACTATAAAGCTCGTACGAGAGACAGTAGTACACCGTTTGTAATTAAAAAGTCCATCGATCTCATTTAAAAGCATTTTACAATCCTTTGCATATATAAAATAATCCTTACTCACAAATATCGATTGAATCCACACATGCATTTCAATCGTCAGTTTCAAAAATCCGTCAATCATACTTCAGGGTTCGAAACATCAGAATATCAGATATTCAGGACACGTTGACTCAAAAATCACCGGTTGGTCAAAGTATCCCCACTCTAGTCAACAACAGTAAATTCTTCAATCCGAAAAATCCAAACCTCGAATTTCCGTTCCACAAGTTGCGAATTGTCATTCCTTCCCATTACCTGGTGAATGGCAAAACGAATGAAAAGTGTTATTACAAGCCCACATAACTATTGACCCAATAAAGGATGATATTGGATATTATTTTTCCTCAATATTGGGCTTTTAACTTACGCAGCACCGTCCCCTTGAGCCCAAATCACTTTCGGTGTCCGTTTTGTACAGTTCACAATCTCACTGCTTCAATTCAAGGACGACGAAAAGAAGAGGCACGTTAGAATTTGATTCGATCGTCGTCCCAAATTCAACCGAACTCCCAGAAGCAGAAGGAATAGAACGCAAATGGCAAATCATAATTTTTCATCTTCTTCCCTGCTCAGAATTCTAATTCTTCTACTAGTATTCTTGCTCTTCTCTCCCATCAATACAAATGCCAAGTCTCGTCGCCCAATCTCTGTATTCCAAATTCCTCTTCTTCTTCTTCTTCTGTTAATTTCTTATATGTTTCAATGTTTGTGGGCCTTTATTTTTGAATACTAATTGTGAATTTATGATGGTTGTTTTTGTGTGTGGTATATTTGACAGGATATTGAGACCAGGCAGAAGAAGAGCCAGTGTTATGCTGACATTGAGAGGTATATCCGCCTCCATCTCTCTCTATTTTTATTTCCATTTTCTATCTTTACTGTTTCTTGCTTGGAAATTAAAAAAAAAAAAATCTGTGACAAGAAAATTAGAAACAGTTTAATTTCTTTTTTGAACTATGGATCAGTGATTAGAGTGGGATTTGATTTAACTCCACCAAAATATTTGAGTTATTAGTATTAAAGAAAGCATTTTTTTCTTCACTATATTTGTTCTAACTTTTAACTTAATGCAACAAGAATTTCTGCTTTTCCTAGTTGTATGAGTGATAAGGTCTACCTGCAAACTATATTGAGTTATAACTGTTTGAGGAAAATTCTTTCCATGCAAATAGAACTTGTAGCTTTAAAATATGTGATGTTGTACTGGCACGCGGGTTTATTTTTTTAAAGGTTTAATCTTTGACTGCTCCTTTTTGTTTTTGATGATTGGAATAGCGGATTGTGGGGCTGGCAATGCAAGTCTTCTTTGATAGCAAAACAAAATTGTGCTTTGCGATGCCTTGCTCCAGCTTGCTATGAGCTTATCTACTGAGAGCGATCCGGTAAGATGGACTATATTAGATTCTCCGTTATTGGATTCGACATGTTACATTTGTTATTTTACATGGGGTGTGTTCTTATTGTAGCTTGAAGAAGGTGAAAAAGATATGTTTAGGGGGCAAGAGTTCAAGTACTGTATGCATAAGTAAGTTCCATGTCTTTATGGATATGAAATCTTATTGCTATATGATTCGGTTTATGCAGGGTGATGATTGTATTTTTGTAGGATTACATAAGGACCACGGTTACAAACTGTTCGTTTTACATTACATAGCTGGACTTCTGTTAGGGTTCAGTTGTCGATACAAGAATCTCATAAGCCATAAGATAGAATTTACTAACAGTGGAAAAATGTGTTAATGCAAAAGATTACTGAGAACATAATATCACTGAGTTTCTTATTTCCTTCAAAAAGATTTTTATCTATTTTGTTTTTTCCTTCTGCCAACTGGTTCACTGTGGAGGTTAAAACCTTAGTCTTTGTTTCTTGCAATAACGTTAGACAACATTACAAAGGTTGATCGAAGGAAAAATTTGTTTTTGGTGTGCATTTTGTAGTTGAGTGTTGGGGCAATTTAGGGGCTTAATTGTCGGTTGGGTTTCTTATTTGCTGGTATTAGCGGGTTTATTGGCTACTTTTGTATTCATATATACTTAGCTTGTGTCGTAATGGGTTTAAGGTAGTAATAGTCAAGGCAATTTTGGGATCAGTCTAAAACCTCTTGAAGAGCAAAATTGCCGGAATTATAATGAGATATTATATGTTATTTTAAATCATTGATTTTCTCAGATCTGTACTGACTAGGAAATAGTTGGCACTCATAAAGATCCCCTACCAAATTGAGGATGATAAGCTGGGTATCACTCACGTGACTTTTTGGATATCAAACCTTTTTCCCCATTGTAAAGTGTTATTATATTTTCCCAGTTTATAATTCAGTGCTGGCGGTGCTTATCAGGTTATGCCAACTATCACTGTCTGCATTTATTAGCACAAAGATTTTTGATGAATTGGATCAAGGGAGGAGTGCATTAGCGTGATGGTTTTTCAAGTGGATTAGATGGATCCCTTCTAAATTTCCATTGCAACTTGATTTTGTGCGATGGCATTTTAAATAAAGTTCTACAAAAGAAATAACAGATATTGAGTTGTTGACAAAGAATAAACGTAGGTTGGACAAGTTATAGAGATTATTTTTATAGTGTGTTGAGAGAACCTTACTGTCGCTTGTAGTAGTAGGATAGTGATGTCGGTCACACGTATTTGAGTCAACACTTTATTCATATTATAAAAAGGTCTTTCTGGAAGTGGCTTTGAAAACTTGGTGAAGAATTCTTTGGTTTAGTGCAGTGGTATTTTCTGAAGGCTGGATGGAATGCACTCATATTAAGGGGGTTACATGTGTTATCTCTGCATCCTGAGCTGTTAGTAACAAATTAACTATAGGTTAAGGACCAGAGGCGATGTGTTGGCTGAGGAGTATGGCGTCTATGCATGCAGTATACTTACTAGATGCTATAAAAAGGTATATTGGCATAGTAGGTTCTCGTATTGTTGATATAAATGCTACCCTGCCATCTTTTAGTGGATTTTGGACCCTTGGAGGATTAAGTAAATTAGTTGTCGGTTTCCTTTAACTGAAAGCGCAGATATGAGTAGTCGGATAAAGTACAAATCCGTGTTTATGAAGCTAAGAAAATACTTAAACCTGGTTACTTCCTTGTGCTTTTATGTGGTAATTGACGAGCAACACTTCAAGCAAATGAGTGGCTCAGAAAATTAGCAAAATTTGTGTTTCAACTTTAGCTTGCTCTCTCGGAACTTATCTTGACGTTGCTTTATTGCATAAAAGGGTTAATAAAGCAACTTATCTTTACGTAGTGAAAGGTTCCGATGAAGTTGTGCTCTTGGAAAAATAAAATGCTTTCAATGACAGGTAGACTCACTTTAATTAAGTGTGTTGCCTCTGCTCTTTCTGTCTATGCTATGAAAACTGCAAGTCTCCCTATCAGTGATATGATGCCACTTGGCATCATATTATTGTGACATGTATATCATTGGGTGATTAGAAATTGTAACTAATTGTGGTTAAAGCTGTTAGTTTGTTGCTTAGCAGATAAGTATGTTCATAGTTAGTATAAATAGGGGTTTGTAAAGCAGTATGGGTCAGTTGTAAAGTTGTCATTTGTATAATAATGAGTTACTTTTACAGTGCAATAGAGAAAGACGTAGAGAGGGCCTTAACAATCAGTATTTGTGATTCTCTTGATAAAATTAATAGAAATTGTCTATAGGGTAGTGCTAAATCTGGTTGGAAGTTGCTAAAAAAGGACAATGGCTTACAGGCTGATCCTTTCAACAACAAACTTTGGAGTGCTTCTCCTTCATGGAGGAGTATTCTTGATGGGGCGGAGATGTTACACAAAGGCCTCAAGTGGAAAATTAGAAATGGTAGAAATACAAAGTTCTGAACTGTTAACTAAGTATGCTCTGCCTTTAGTTCAAGAAATCGATCCAAAATTAAAAGCTGCTGATTTCATTGAGAAGTTGCGGACTTTAAATTTGATCCCACTTGTAAAAGCTGTAAATGTTACAAAACCGCCTGATCGTAGGAAGAGCATCTGGAATTTTACTATTAATTGTCTCAAAGCCAATGCTGCCAATGTTAATACCTCTAGTAAACCCGACCGTGTCCAAGCTTTCTTAGCTTGGGAACCTCCTCTTTTGGAACTTTTAAGCTGAATGGTGCTAGGCTTGGTTCCGATGGGGTGAATGGAAGTGGAGGATCAATTAGGGGTTGGTGTGTTATATGGATTATTGGTATTGTTGCTAAGAAAGGGGTTGGGGAAGTTCTCCATGCTGAACTTTGGGCATTGTATTATGGTTTGAAGATGGCTAAAAGAAGAAAGTTTTCTCATCTGATTGTGGAGGTGGATTCTTCTTTGTTGGTCAGTCTTTTTCATGGTTTTGCTAGCATTAATCATCCTCTTGATGGTCTTTGTCTCGCATTGTAGAAATCATTTTAAAGGGAACTGGAATATCATGCTGCAACATGTTCATAGAGGATGCAGTTTTGCTGCCTACGGTTTAGCCAAGTTGGGTCTAACTAGTGAGATGGATTTCAAGAGCTTGCGGAGCCTCTCCTGATTTAGTCCGAACTAATGTTGATGATTGCTCTGGTGTTGCCAGAGCTAAATTAGTTGTTCTTTAGTTTGCTTCTCTCTTTTTCTCCCTTGCGCCCGAAAAATTATGAGCAACACTTTTATTTTTCTCTTAACAGAACAATATCCACAAGTCAAGTTTTTGGCTACTTATGTAAGTAGTGTAGTTGGTTATATGGTATTCAAAAACGACATGCCTGTTTGTGTGCTTGGCGACAAATAGGATGAGCTGCATGTCGTCCCAAGCAGCCAGGCTTAGCATAGGAATGTTTTCTGCAGATGTTTCAAGTCTTATTGGCGGATGGCTTACCTCTGCCCTATTCTTTAAGTTTCTGCCTGCTTAGCCAGGTTAATCAGGGCATTTTGATCATTTTGGTGCTTTCATAAAAGTTGCTAGCTTTTCCTCCTACTTTTTCTTTCTTTCATTAATCTTGCAATTTCCCATTGACTTTTAGATGCAGTTTGCCAACATAAATAATCACATCATGGTAATTGACGAATTAATTTGGGTTGTTTTGTAACCCTCGATTCATGTTGCCTTGCAGGTTATCTTTGGGGGAGAGCCTCGAGGGTATTAAGGGTTCATTTAATTATTAAATAGATGGCAATGTTGCTTGTAGAATAAGTTCATATGAAGCCATGGATTTCTTCTTCACTGGAAAAAGAAGAGAGAAGGTAAAACAGAAGTCGGACTTCATTTTCGAGTCATCTCTTGGTTGTCTCCCCTTGCATCTAGTGCCATCTTCTGCAAGTTGAGCTGCAAACCAGGTTCAGGATGTCCAGAAGGCTCATGTTCTCTTTCATCGACGTGGAAATTATCTGTAAGATTTCGAGTTTACCAAATGAGATGAGAATGTTTTTCTTTAACTTGCTTGATAGTACTGTAAGTTGAACCAGCATCAATTAGTGTACCATCATCAATCTTTGGGTGCCTGTGTCCGTCCACCTTTCCAGTCCCACCCAAGGTCACATGGTGCAATGTTGCCACAGTTGTTGCCTATAGCTGCCGTCTCCCCAACCACCACGGCTGTCGCGCGGTCGAAAAGAATGCTGTCACCTATGCTTGCAGCTGGTGAATGTCTACGGAAAACACATCCGCAATTCGCGAGTGGGGTGCAAGTGTTAGTGGTCTACGTGACCGACTCCACAACTTATGAGCCACTCGATGAGACTAACAAATTGAACATAAACTATTATGTTTTTGTTTGTTTGTTTTGTTTTGAAATTTCATATAAATTAATCCAAAAGCAAATAAAAATTAGGAAAATTTTATTTGAACCCATCTAACCTCGTTCTACATTTAGCTTACTCTCTACGCTCATGTTACTTTTAATTAAATTCTCAATATCTCTTTAAACCCAATTTACTACCTCAACTATCTTCACAAACTAAATTAATATATAAATTTATCTTTACACCCGCTTAGGAAATAAAGATCCAAAGTCAGTATTTTGCAGCTCATTCTATGCGGTACATGTCACCCATTTTTTTAATGAAAAATAGCATTGAACGGCACCCCCAGCCATGGTATGCACCTGAAGTGTTTATTTTTTTTCCTCATCACAGTCGAAGGAGACAAACATTGTCTTAAACTCTTTGCCTTCCACTCTATGCATTTCATAAAGTCACGTTCTTGCAATGCTGAGGGGTAAGAGCCTTGCAAGGCCTACACCAATTTGCAGAGAAGTAGAGGCACAGTTTCTTCCCATTACATGACGATAAGCGGACCTAATAATCTTGCAGTCAAAACAACATTATGTTTTAATTATCAAAAGCAAGATGAAAAAAATTTAACTCTAAAATTGAAGGCATATTTTTGTATGCTACAAATGTACTTGAACCTCACGTTCCTATATTTTAATGAAATCAAAACATTTTCGACAACCATCAACCAATTAAATTGATGAAAAAGAAGAAGAAGGGGAAGCTTTTGGAGACTACATACATTTGTTTCACCAGATAGAAGGACCTCAACACCTTCAAATTCAAGAACAGTCCCTATATTGATGCTAATATGCACCGCCATCAAAACTACAAGCAAAATATGGCCTCCACCCTTCACGAATGAAACGATAAGAAAGCATAACATTCACACAAGTAGCTAGACTTTAATTTTAAATCTCACATAGGTTTCTGCTAGTCATTATGTTTTTTAAAAGTGCTGATTTTGTTCCTAAATCCTTAAAAAAAAAAAAAAAAAAAAAAAAAAAAAACTAAAATCAAACGAAAAAAAAACTTGCAAAAATCAATTCATACTTTAGTTTGAGGATTCAAAACTTCTTAATCATCATTCATCATTAAAAAATAGCTTGTTTTTCTCTACGAAAACGTCTTAGGGTTTTAGTTAGAATGAACGTATTGGACAAAGATTTCATGATGGTAGGTTTTGATTATTAGGAGTGGGTTTATTAATAAATTTTAGTTTTATTGATGATTTCATCTTGTAGTTAATGGTTATTATGCAATAGGGTAAAAAAGACAATTCACAATTAAAGTTTAAATTGGGTGTAGAATGAGATTATATGGGTTCAAATAAATTTTCCCTAAAAATTAAGGGTACTTTTTTTAAATTTTTTATTAAAAAAGAGATTAGTTGGTGTCTTAGCTACGACAACCCATTCTTTCGTAGGTCGTTAAGACTCATAGAGACATTTCATCCTTCTTCTGGCCACCATTGTGTGATTAACCAATGCCATGAATCGAACCTATGACGTGCTGTGCGGAATACGAGCCTAAAATTTGTTCTCAACCTTGTCACTTTGCTATCCTCAACTTAGCATTTTTTGTCTCACTTTCATATCTTAAGTTTGATTTTTTTGTCACTTTCATACTTTCTTAGTCAATCTATTAATTATTTTGTTAATTGATGTAGTGACCTCTCTCCTCTCCCTTGGTCTCCACGACAAGAGATAGTGTGCCCAGAATATGGATACATACGTTGTATGTCATAATACAAATGGATGAACACTTAAAAAAAAAAAAAAAAAGCGTCCCTACATTTATACAATAATACACATGATGCACTGCCTCGTATTCCAAGCATATTAAAAAAATACTCTCCTCTACTACCCCTTCTCCCTCCTCCACTACTTCCTTTCCCAAATCCACTATACGTATAAAATCAATATAATCTTCTTAATTAGGAATACAACAAGAGCCAATTTTTCTTAATTAGGAATATATCAAGAGCCAATGTCACATGCGTTTTAGGCTTTTAGCCTCTTTTGAAAACTTGAAACGATTATAAAGATTAAAAGTTGCAACTGCCATTTAGTACTACGGTTTAGTGATATTCCTTTTCACTTGTAAGTGAGAGATCTTAGATTCGATTCTCGTCAAAGGCGAGTTTGAACCACATTATTGCTAGCTCACTGTGAGGCTAAGCCCACCCATTCCCTTAGTGTAGATAATATCGATTGTTCAAAACAAAAAGGGACACTCCTAGATTAAAGAAATTAGGTATCTTAATTATTTAATTATTTGGCCAAGGAGAAAGAGGATTTTCTGTCTCAAGTGGGTATGTGGAAGATGATGGTGGAGGTGTGTGGCGGACGGGGTTTTTTTCTTTTTGGTGGAAGGGTGGCTGGGTGTGGGTGTGAAGAAAGATGATGAACTTTTTGTTATTGGTTTATTTATATCAAAAGGGTATGTTTGGGATAGGATGGATTGAAAATTTTAAATGGGTGAACTTAATTAAAATTTGGGTGCCAATAAAGCCATCTTGTATTATTATTACCTACAAGTCAAACACTGTTGCGATATTGTATTATTATCACCTATACTAGAGTATTTCTCCACATAATTCTGCATGAATGGTTTTTTATTTTTTATTTTTGGTGAATTCGTGCGAATGGTATCCTTGCATATCATACAAAAAACGTTTTCAATGGAATTATCACACCGTCATGTGGTAATACATGCCGGGTGACATAATCAAAGAATTTAAAAGAATGTTAATTGATGTAACGTGAGGGATTAGTCCGAATTGAAACTTAGCGAAGGACTTTTGGTTAATCTGGTTTTTAATTTTACATATAGCATTTCTAACATAATTATGTGTTTAAACCTGATTTTATCGGAGTCCCTTTTACACTAACATAATACAAACCGATAAGAACAAAAATGATAATCCAAAAGAGGAGAAGAAAACAAGCCCATCACACTAGAACAGCCTACAATAGCATTACCATTTCAATTAACAAACACAATTAATTATCACCCTATTCTTTATAAACCCACTTCAACAAGTTCATTAGAATCAGCATCTCCAATAGAATCTCTAAATTTTACGTTTTAAATTCTATTTTGCTGACCGTGGTAATTTGAATGGTAAATTTTGTTACTTCAACAGTTTGCTTTCCGACAAACTCTTCAAATTTGACAATTCTATACTTATTGTGTTGTAGCGGCTCTTATAGCATCAAATTCCAAGTTCACTAGTTTTGACCTGCCCTTTGGTGTACCACATCAATATATGATTCTAGTTTGTTCATTAAAGTTGACAATAGTGATATTTAATGACTTTTGTTATATGCGGATGATATCATCCTAACTAGGTCAAACTTTACAAAAGTTCAGTGTGTGATTTCCAGTCTTGCTGAGGTATTTGATCTCAAGAATATGGGGCAACTCATATTTCTTGGGCATACAAATATAATATGAGACAGACGGACCTTTGTTTATCAATCAATCAAAATATGTCAAAGAACTGCTAAAGAAAACAGGAATGGAGACCTGTAAACCTACTTCTACACCAATAAAGCCACATACTCAATTACTTGTCAATGAAAGCACACCTGTTGCAAATCCAACTCACTACATAAACATTGTAGACGCCCTACAATACCTTACCTTTACTAGACCTAACACACTCAGTTAATATAGTGTGTTAGTTTATGACTAATCCTACAGAGCTTCATTATCATTTGGTCAAAAGAATTCTGAGGTACTTTGACATGTGGTTTGAGATATACCAAGTCTTCTGAGTTTAATATTTCAGCATATTCAGATTCAGATTAAGATTGGGTTGCGGATATAAACACCAGAAGATCAATAATTAGCTATTTGGTGTTCTTAGGTTCTAATCTGATTTCCTAGCAATCAAAGAAGCAATCCAGTGTTTCTAGGAGCTTAACAGAAGCAGAATACAAAGCTCTTGCACATTATGATGCAAATGTGTATTGGATAAGGTCATTACTCAAAGACATTCATGAAACTATTTCAGAACCTCCATGTCCATACTGTCATAACCTTTATGCACTAGCTTTGACTTCAAATCTTGTTTTCCATTCTTAGATAAAGCATCTCAACACCGATTACCATTTTGTCTGAGAAAAGGTTCAAAAGGGTGATTTGAAAGTGCAGTACATTCCAACTGAATAACAAGTGGCAGATGTCCTTACTAAAGGACTGCATAGTCCAATCTTCATTAGACATTGTCACAAACTTAGTCTAGGAACTCCTAGCTAAGTTTGAGGACGGAGTAATAGCTATAGTCAGATGATGATAATTGTAAGACTAAGATGATGACACTTGTCAATGTTAATTGATTGAGTTAGTTGTGATTGTAATTAGTTAGAGGGAGATTGTTAGACGGCAATATAGTCATTGTAGTTGTAAGAATAGTTTCTATATAACCATAATGTAATAGTCATTTGATACTAATGTGAAATATACAAAGCTTTACACCATAATGTAATAGAAAGCCGTGTAGACAAAATTTATGGAGGAAGATTTAGGGAGGCTCAGAAGTCGGTAAGTAAATTTGGACTCCAAAAAACCCTAGATCATATCGTTCGAAAGAAGACTCTTTCTCGATAGTTATCTTGTTCAGAGAGAATAAAACATAACTAAAAATGGGTTGCCCTCTTGAAGAGATTGGGTCAGTTTGAGTGACTTCCCGAGTCATTTCCTAGAGGTGT